CCAGGCATGCTCGCTAGGTATTTTTCTCCCACTCTGGAATAATATCTTATGTCGTGACCCGTGAGAGCCCAGGAATGTGTTGTGACTTGTGAGCATGCTTTGGGAGATATCGGAATCCCTGAAAGAGCTGATAGTGCTGCCGGAGTGCCGCCACAACTTTTTATGGAGAAAAATAATAGTTTCAGGTCTCATAAGGGGCTGTTAAAATGTTGCGTTTTCTTTGCGTGCTTGAATCCACTGTTGTCAATGTACACGCACATATTATCAATGGTGTGACCAGGGCACTACGGCTGCGTCTAGGCCTTTCACGATAATCAATAAATTGACTTATCGTACGATAAATAAAAATGGACTCGATAACTTTTCTGAGCTCGATAAATTGCCCTTTACATAAGTGTTTGTTTACATAAGGATGTGACCAGAATTGTAGCCCGGCGCGCTGTGAGGGGCGGGGCTCACAGCCAAATCAGGAAACTCCGCGTGCAGCAGTGTAGCAGCCAAATGAATAATATAGAGACAAGCAGGAGACAACGTGTGACTTACTCGAGGGGAATTTGAAGTTAAATGGAATTGGTTGCAAAACCTAATTCCACATCTCCGGTGTGGGAATATTTAGGATTTAAGCCAAATCAACGAGGCGAACCTACGGACTTGAATGAGCCGTTATGTCGCAATTGTTTTAAAAAGGTAGCAACAAAAGCTAGCAATACGACCAACCTTAAACTGCATCTGAAACACAACCACCCCATATATATATATATATATATATGAGATATATATATATATATGAGATATATATATATAATATATATATATATATATATATATATATATATATATATATTAGGGCTGTCAAGTTAACGCGTTAATAACGCGTTAACGCAAAAAAAAATTAACGCCACTAATTATTTTAACGCGATTAACGCATGTGTATTTTTTGTCCTCGGCCGCCGTAGTTTCAGAGCGCATCGAGTGTAAAATACCATCGACAAGCTGATGCTGACAGCCCCGCTCCTGCCGCCCGCTTGTGGCAGACCACACTTCCACGCTCACTGGCAGGCCCGGACTGGCCATCGGGAGGACCGGGAGGGAGTGTGTATGTGTGGCGCGACTCGCGCGAGCGAGGCACACCTACGTGTTGTTGTTAGCATCTGGTGCTAGCTAGCTGCGCTAACGGATATAAGGAGCTGTTTCAATGACATTTCGCCGACAACTGCGCCGAGCACTTGACTTTATGCAGGTAGCCAGACAGTGGGACATTGTACGAAAAGTCAGCGCAACATTATTGCAGCGTCCAGGCAGCTCCCATTCGAGCATATATGCCTTGAGCTGCACATAGCTCAACGATCCATCACAGTGTCTCCACACACACACACACACACACACACACACACACACACACACACACACACACACACACACACACACACACACACACACACACACACACACACACACACACACACACACACACACACACACACACACACACACACACACACACACACACACACACAGTATTATTGTATGAGAGAGGTTCCAGGTTGAATTGAGGCGAATATTTGTAATGTTCAGGTTGTTGTGTTTAATATTCATGAGAATATTTGTCATTGTTCAAATGATAATAAACAAACATATAAGCATATTTGTCCACTCATATGTTGATAAGAGTATTAAAAACTTGAAAGATATCCCTCTAAGGTACATTTAGAACAGATAAAAAATGTGCGATTAATTTGCGATTAATCGCGATTAACTATGGACAATCATGCGATTAAATATTTTAATCGACTGACAGCCCTAATATATATATATATATATATATATGAGAGAGAGAGAGCTCTGTTTTCCAGCCTGAGTCTATTTAATTGATTATTTTGGTTGTGTGTGATTTAATTATTTTACATTATTTACACTTTTTGTTATATTCCATGGAATGCTCTTAACATCCCGATAGCAATGAATATCTTAAGTGCTTTGACAAAAAATACACACACACACACACACACACACACACACACACACACACACACACACGTCAGAACACACATCTCCACTAAGACAGGTGGAGCATGATTTGACATCAGGAAGTTGCTGTAATATTGATACAAATAAAAAAAGATTGAAATGAGTTTGGTAAACACATTTCAATATAGTGAACTGCCACTATTTTATAAAAAATATTGTGTATCTTCTATTGTAGATGGTCACATGGTTTAGTAATTACTGTGACACAATAGTGTTTGTACTGTATGGTTCAGTGAAAAATAAAGGAGGCTATGATGCGCCCTGGTAACTGCTTTATCAAAAAGCAGAATATGAAATAATACCAAGCAGTTAGATGTGTGTGGAGGTCAGTGTGGTTCTGGCTGCTGTAGTTTAAAGGCCATTTAATGATGGTAAATGCAGTGAGCGACTGTGTGTAAACAGCACTGCACTCTGCGTGATGGTGCTGCTCTCCTATACAGTTATGGTGAAGATCCAGATCAGATTCTTATACTGCCAAACACACTTAGACGTTGACATGTCTTGATTCACTTGGGGTTGTCTTTACTAAGTCAAGACTTTGACTTTGACAATGCTCTACTGACTCGGATCTTGACTTAGACTTTGACTTGCTTCTACTGACTAGACAAGGGGTGTCAAACATACGGCCCATACTGTAGGCCAAAACCGGGTCCAATCCGACTCACAGGGATGAGTTTGCAAAGTGTAAAAATTACAGAGAAGACATTAACTGCAATCTTCATGACTTTTATGTATTTTGTATATACATTTATATATTTGCAAGGCACCTTCTTCCTTAATAGTTCCCACTTTAGTTTGTATGGTGGTGTGTCAGGATGACTACAGATGTGGAAATGAATGTAAGATAATTTAATTTGGAAAGAGATAGTTCATTTCATTAAATGTGAATATTTTCAGAATGTACTTTGTTGCTCTAAAACAAAGGGAACCGTTTGGAGTTGTTGTTATGAATAGGTTGTTATGCTGTGATGTTACTGGTCCAGCCAAGTTGACACCCCTGGACTAGACTCTTGACAGAAGTTGTTTTAAATAACATGATTTTAAATGATTGTGTTGACTGTCTCCAGAATGAGCTGACACTGATTTCACTTGGACTTCACTTATTGGAAACACATGATGGGATAAGGATGAAAAAGGATGCAAGTTTTTGTTTAGCTTCAGTACATTTTGTAAGCATGATGGACAGACTAAACGGCAATTTTATTTCATATGATTTGACTTTGGGTTTTTATTCTCACCCTTTTCAGTTTGATAGGTATTTCTTCTCTGTTTCTGTCTTCATCAAATAGTAATGGCAGATATATCCATCTCATCAATGTCATTTTCAGTCATCTCTACAGCTGTGGTAGTGGTTGCTGGTAGCCGTTCACTTCAAAAAATTAAACAAACAAAGAATATGTTGATTTAAGAGTTGCTATTTTGGTCTGTTCTTCAAAGTTGTCTGTGAGAAGGCTGCAGAGTGTGAGCAGTCTGTCTGCAGATCCACAAAGTGAGAATGCTATTTGTGACAGCGACTTTGGTGAGATGTGTGTGAGCGGAGGCAGGCTTTATGTGTTGCTGTGTGTGTGAGTGATGACACAGCAGGAAACATGGCGTCCTCTGGTGTCAGACCGACACTGGACAGTCTGGAGGGGATTTTCATCTTTTGCTCAGCGAAGTCTATTGATCTGTATCGATCAGCAGCCTCACCTCCACCTCCCTCATGTTCCCTCTGATGTCTCTCCTCTTCTCTTCCTGCCACCCTCTCACATCCTCTTTCTGGGTCAGATTAAGCCTTGTTGGTACATAATGAGTAGCATTATAACAACAAACGAAAGTGAATGACGTCTTAATGCAGATAGATGATAGTAAAAACATGTTGGTTAAATACAAGGGGATTTTGATACTGCCAAACATAAGCTCTGTGGGTTAGGGGGTAATCTAAAGTATTAACACCTAACAACATTGTTAAAGGATAAATGCATTCACTGTAGAAAAGAGCTTACATTTGGCTTCAAAAAAATAACATCACGTCACATGACTTCACCACCGCTAAGTTAATGTCCTGCGTGATAGTAGTCTTATTCAGAAATGTGTTAACCGTTGGTTAAAAGCCACACAGGAGCTTCATAGAACAAAACGGGAAAATCTTGCTTAGACAGACCTTAATTTGTGAATCGTACAAAAAACATGTTGCAAAAAACATTACCTTTGCTACTAAGGATAATAGTGGTAGATTGCTAACTCATTTCCAGGTGTAGGACCCACTCCTGCACTACTGTATTTGGATGAAACATTTTGAAGTAAATACTATACTAGAAATAAAGAGGTTGTATGACAATGATGCAAAATAATATAATATGAAAGCATCCAGAAAAAAAATTACTAGATGACAACATTATTCAGCTTTGACTTTATAGGAAGGTGAAGGTCAGCTGTATATCTGGGTTTTCTATTATATAAAGAGCTTTTAGTCAGGGGGAATGTGCATCCTAATGGGTGAGTCAAGGACACGTCCAGCTTCTACTCAATGTATTTTATTAATGACCGCCTTGCTGCTCATTATCCCGCTCATTACATGATTACATACTAAATAAACAAAAAACTTGATTCACAATCTTGATTTGAAATGATTTTATTGATTACAAAAATTATTGTATTGCATCCGCCAAGAACAAATATTCCGTTCCACGGCGTACAAACGGCTGGAACTGCAGCGACAGCAACGCAACTGAAAATGAAGGCAGCTCTGATCAAGGTTTTCTGTAACTGTCCAAGTCTGTTAACGTTTTGTTTTCCATGAACCAGTCTTTAAACACTGCCAGAGCCCATACTGTGTTCCTGTTAGTGTTTACTTCCTGTCTGTCTTCTTCTACTGTTCCCTTTAGTGTTTACTTTACTTGGGCTGCAACTCACAATCACTAGTTGACCTAACTATGATGTATCTTTTGTAATAAAATAACTAAAGTGTTGTTTCTGTCCTGTTTCCTCAGGTGCTGTGTATGATCACAGCTCCAGTCACCATGATCCTGTCCTCTCAGCAGGACGCCTCCTTCGCCTTCGCCTCCTTGGCCATCGTGTTCTCGGTCTACATCACCCTGGTGGTCCTGTTTGTCCCCAAGGTAAAGTCACTTTCACTATGGGAGGGGGTTTTAATCTTCTCTTGACCAGTTTGATAAGATATTTTACAAAGTGAGAATGAATGAATGAAGGTGGTCGCCTTAACACGCCCCTTTATGACAGTTGAACTTGTGATTGGGACAGCGTGGACATGACTGTGCTGCTATAGAGTATCCATCACTGGGGCAGTCTTCACCACATGTTTAACCTGAGCCTGCAGAGATTTGCAGAAAAGCAGTAATGAGGTCCAACACTGATGATTGGGGGTGACACCTGATTCGCTGATAGCGTACGATGGTCATAGCAGATTAAACCGACAAGATACAATGTTTACATTTATTTGTATTATTATTATTTGAGACAAAGTCGGGCTAGCTGTTTTCCCCTGCGTCCAGTCTTTTTGCTAAGATTACCCAATCTCTAATTCTGTTCTTAAGTGGTCAGCTTGTGCTTTGCACACTGAGGCCCCTGGCGTTCAGCTCGCTTCAGAGATCTTGGGCCACGCACTGTAATGGCGCAGTTCCACTACAGCGCGGAGCTCGCTTTAAGCGTGCCGTGTCGTGCCGTGCACGTTTTTGGTTGCGCTTCCACTAGGCCTAGTTCCGGCCCGGCCCGGGGCCACTTTTTCACGTCTTTTCTGGCCCGAGAAAATTGTGGTTCTATCGAGGCCAACAAACAGGGCTGAGTCGGGCTGAGTATGCTAAACTAGAGAGAGGAGCGCTGGCAAGAGGGCTAGAACTACAACAAGATGGACATATTTGACCGTGATTTAATTGTAATACACGTTTCAAAATGATGCCGAAGTAACAACATACTGATACCGGTTAGTAAAAACCATGAATTAATGCTTTGTCAAGTCTGCAGACAGACGGCAGGCGAAAAAACCTTTTAAAATGCGTGTTTTTCTAGGTGGAGATTGGCTAAGCTAACGCAGTATATGCTCCGACCGTCCACACTCACAACAACGGCCTATACAGACATAAATAAAGCAGCGACTGTATTCTCCATGACACAGGCAGTCTGTGGTGTGTACTTGTTTAACTTTTGTCGAGTTTCTGAACATATATAAGGAGCTGTGAGCTCTGAGTGCTAACAGCTAACGGCTGTGTTGTGTTTCTGGAGTTCTCATTGAAGATGACGTCACGGCTCCGCCTACACTGCGTTACTATAGTAACTACCCCAGTTCCTAAACTGTAATGGAAGCGCAGCATGAAGTGAGTCGGCCCTGTTAAGGCCGAGCCGTACCGAGCGTGGCCGAGGCCGACCGTGTAGTGGAAATGTGCCATAATGGCACATTTCCACTACACGGTCGGCCTCGGTAGTGTCCTGAGGCCCCAGGTATGTCAGTCAGCACACCGCTGGTTTGGATACACAGACAGGAGTTACGGCATGGAGGCAAAGTAGTGTCTTGGGTTAGGGTTAGAGTGTCACGGAGTGAGTAGGTGGGCAGAACCCAAATGCAGTACAAAACTTGGAGGCAGGTATAAATAACAAAATCAAGCTTTTTCTAAATATAGCATGTAACCATGGGGGGCAGACAAGTTGAAACATAATGTAAGAAAACAGCTAAACAAAATGAAGAAGAAACCGGACACACACCGAACCACACCAGGGGAACATAGAGGGAAAGCTGACAGAAAATAGGACTAACGGGCCGTCTCCACAGCAGCGTTAAAAAAATCTTGGAGGTGGGCGTATCTGAAGCTTGAGGATTTTTTGCGAGCAACCAATCACATGAATCTCCCGCCCGGGACATACGAAGCAAAAAAGCCCGAAGTAAACTGGATATAAACTCCCCAAACAGGCGAAAACCTACCACTGTCTCTGCCACCTCCCTCCATGCCTGTCTCCTCCGGTTTATATCCCGGTAGGTCTGGTCATAAAGCACCGGGTGATTGATTCGCTACCGCTAATTTCTCCTCCATTTTTTGGAATATGAGGAAATGACCTGCGGTATGTCTCTCCCAGCATACACGCCGTTTGATTGGCTAGAGCTTGAACTGTCAGATTTGCGTACACGGGATTTGATTGGCTGACGCTTCCACCTCAGCCTCAAAAGTTGAATATTGTTCAACTTTGAATCCTCAAAATCCTGAAAATCTCCGCTCGCCTGCCCACAATGCAGTTCGGCGAAAAGTGAGGGAAAGTGACGTCACCCCATTCAAAGTGAATGGGCAGAAGCGTTTCAAGATTTTTTAACGCTGCTGTGGAGACGGCCCGTAATCACACTGAGGAGACACAGCTGGAGAGGGAAGGCAAAAACACAGGGCAGCAGGTGACGGGGGGGGGAAGGGTCATCAGGTCGGGGCAGACAATAACAAGGGGGGGCGGGGGGAAGACTGGAAGTAAAACAAGACAAGGGAGAAAATAAATGTCAAAATAACAGCAAACATGAAACACCTAAAGAAAGATCATGACGCTGTTGCACATAAAAGCTTTGGAAGTTCACAAGTGGGGTGTTTACTGAAGTATTTTATATTGTAGAACAAAAACATAACCATCTCTTCAGCTTCAACAGACCCTATTTCAGGCTACTTACCAAAACTTCGAGATGAGGGAGCCGAAAGTAGTAAAAGCTAAGTCTGCTGCCCCCGGCTACAGGAGTGCAATGCTTATTGGCTTCTATGCTGTTACTCCTGCCTGCCAACCACCATCTAGGTAATACACTGAAGTGCCTCATGCGACCCCCCCCCTTCAAACAATCTGAAATCTCTTTTCAAAGAGCCTGGCCCAAACCATTTAAAAACAGCTGCATCAGCAAACTATATAAAAGTGTGTGAGGCCAGGAGTTTCCATACACTGCTGGCCTTATAGATGACTGATAGATCCTTGGCAGGCACTCCTTGCTTTGACTTTGACATCTCACTTACTGACAACTTAGTTGTGCAAACACATAGTCTAAATGACCATACAATAGCATAACCTACAAGGCACACATACTAAACATTTTTCAAATCACAATGAATGGAATTGAATGTCCAAACAGCACCCTGAAGGGTATAAATAAAACACATCAGGAATGCCTTGCTCAGCACACATATATAGTACCTGCAAGAAATACAAGCTAAGTTCAGGAAAGTTGTCTGATAAACATAAATCAGAGATGGTCAACTCCTACTGCTAAACTGTTTACAGGACAGGCTGATAAATCAGCGTGAACAGTGACGGCAGCAGTCATTAAAAAATGAACTGATTTAACACTCCTCTGTGTAGTGGAGCGACTCTTATTCTCTGTGGAAGTCAACTGTACATTCAAGGTACTCACAAGGGAAGTGTAATATCACCCCACATATTACTATTCAATATAAAAACAAAAAAATGTCAGGGCCCAGTTACAATAACCACAGACATTACATGTAATCTGGTCCCAAAATCTAAATGAAGTATATCCTCATTAAAGCTCTACAGTGAACATTTGCCTCCTTCACATACACATATCTATTTGGCCTTTAGTTCTTATTTTTTTTAAATAATTGTAGCTTTTACTTCTCCCCTTTATCTCCTCTTCCTAAGCACAGGCAAACAGCCTTGGGAGAGTTGTTTCTCCCGGTATGATAAGGCAGTCCCTCTCTTTCACAGCTGTGTCCAGATGTGGCCCTGATAGCTCACTCTGCTTGTCATATACAATCTCTTCTTCAGATAATAACAGGAAAAACTGACGCACAGGGTCAGAGAGCAGGAGGGACATCTGGGAGTCCATCTTATCAGGTGGATGGGACAGAACTTGCGATATTGTTTTGTAGAATGTCATATGGAGTAAAAGGCAAGAGAAGTTCAGAGTTGGTTGGGCAGAGGCTGTGTCTCCAGTGTTCTTGTGTGCTAGTTATTTGCCCAAAGAATATTATCACAGTAAGGAAAACATGTGCATGGTTTGCAGATGCGGCGTCTGATCACGCGGGGGGAGTGGCAGTCAGACGGTCAGGAGACCATTAAGACCGGCTCGTCCACCAACAACAACGACGAGGAGAAGTCCAGACAGCTGGAGAGAGAGAACAAGGAGCTCCAGAAGATCATCCAGGAGGTCAGGCAGCCATCTATTGTCCATTTTCATCATATTCACAATGTAAAAGTATAAGTAAAGAAATGTAGATATTGGTTTATTGAGTTTGCAAATTTAGGTTTTGAAAGTACAACAACATAAATGACATTTGTCCCTCAGCCTTCCACAGGGAACAGAGATTTTTCAATTGTCCTCAAATCATTTTATACTGTACTTATTGACATATGAGGACAGGATTGAGGCATCTCTATTACTTTTCTGGTTTCAAACAAGCCAAAGTATGAGGCTAAAAACTCAGGACTTTGAGTATCATTACATTACATTGCATTTAGCTGACGCTTTTATCCAAAGCGACTTACAATAAGTGTATTCGACCAACAAGATACAAACTTGAAGAAAACTGAATCATATAAGTACATCAGGTTTCATAGAGCCAAACCATTTCAAGTGCTACTCAACTGGCTTTAGATAAGCCAGTCCTTTATTAGTATATAAGTGCTTTGTTCGAAATTCTATTGCTCGAAGTGAAGTCGAAAGAGATGAGTTTTCAGTCTGCGCCGGAAGATGTGTAAGCTTTCTGCTGTCCTGATGTCAATGGGGAGCTCATTCCACCATGTTGGAGCCAGGATAGCAAACCCACGTGTTTTTGCTGATGGGAACTTGGGTCCCCCTCGCAGTGCTGGTGCAGCGAGCCGTTTGGCCGATGCAGAGCGGAGTGCACGTGCTGGGGTGTATGGTTTAACCATGTCCTGGATGTAGGAAGGGCCAGATCCATTCACAGCATGGTACGCAAGTACCAGTGTCTTGAAGTGGATTCTAGCAGTTACTGGAAACCAGTGAAGGGAGCGGAGGAGCGGCGTGGTGTGGGAACATTTAGGAAGGTTGAAGACCAGACGAGCCGCTGCATTCTGGATGAGCTGCATAGGTCGGATGGCACATGCAGGTAGACCAGCCAGGAGGGAGTTGCAGTAGTCTAGGCGTGAGATGACGAGAGCCTGGGCCAGAAGTTGCGTCACTTTCTGGGTCAGGAGGGACGTATCCTCCTGATGTTGTAAAGAGTGTATCTGCAGCAGCGGGTTGTTTCAGCAATATTTGCAGTGAAGGACAGGTTGTTATCTAGGGTCACACCCAGATTCCTTGCAGTCTGAGTCGGGGAAACAACAGAGGGGCCGATGTTGATTGTTAGGTCAAGAGTGGGACACTCTTTTCCCGGAAGAAAAGCAGTTCAGTCTTGTCAAGGTTGAGCTTGAGGTGGTGAGCAGACATCCACCAAGAGATGTCTGCTAGACAAGCAGAGATGCGTGCGACGACCTGGGTTTCTGAACGGGGAAAAGACAGAATTACGTCGTCAGCGTAGCAATGGTATGAAAAACCATGTGGGCTAATGACCGATCCGAGCGAGTTTGTGTACAGAGAGAAGAGGAGGGGACCAAGAACAGAGCCCTGAGGGACCCCTGTAGTTAATTGACAAGGGTCGGACTCAGACCCTCTCCAAGTTACCCTGTAGGTGCGGTCTTTGAGGTATGAGGTGAGGAGGGAAAGTGCAGAGCCTGAAACTCCAAGTTCTTGGAGAGTGCGAAGGAGGATCTGATGGTTCACCGTGTTGAATGCAGCAGACAGGTCCAAAAGGATGATGACAGAGGAGAGGGAGGCTGCTTTAGCCGTGTGCAGTTCCTCAGAGACAGCGAGGAGGGCAGTTTCTGTTGAGTGACCTTCCTTGAAACCAGACTGGTGCGGATCAAGAAGGTTGTTCTGATGGAAATAACAGGAGAGTTGTTTAAAGACAGCGCGTTCAAGTGTTTTAGACAGGAACGGGAGGAGAGAGACAGGCCTGTAGTTTATAACATCGGACGGGTTGAGAGTGGGTTTCTTTAGGAGAGGGTTTACTCTTGCCTCCTTGAGACTGTTTGGAAAGTGACCAGACGTTAGAGAAGTGTTGATGAAATGGGTGAGAAACGGTAGAATATCAGGAGCGATAGTCTGAAGGAGGTTTGAGGGGATAGGGTCCAGAGGACAAGTGGTAGGACGGGCAGAGGTAATGAGGGTAAGAACCTCACTTGGAGAGAGAGGGGAAAAGGAGGTTAGTGTGTGGGTGAAAGGTGGGTCAGGTGACCCAGCGGTGAGTAAAGGTGAGTCAGAAAAAGAAGAGCGAATATCATCAACCTTTTTTTTCAAAGTAGTTAACGAAGTCGCTTGGAAGAAGGGAGGAGGGGGAAGGGGCTCTGGGGGGGTCCAGGAGGGTGGAGAAGATAGAAAATATTTGTTTGGGATTGGAATAGGAAGATTGGATCTTATCTTGAAAGAAAGTGCTTTTTGCCTGAGAGATCGAAGATGAGAAAGAGGAGAGGAGAGCCTGATAGGTTAGGAGGTCGTCATGGTGTTTGGATTTCCACCGTTTCCGCTCTGCTGCCCGAAGGATGGTTCTATTAGCACGCAGTGCGTCATTTAGCCAGGGAGCAGGAGGGGACTGACGAGGCTGCCAAGATGTGAGAGGACAGAGAGAGTCCAGAGAGGATGAAAGAGTCGAGAGGAGAGTTTCTGCAGCAGAGTTTGGAGGCAGGAGTTGGAACGAGTCAGAGGAAGGGAGGGCTGAGAGCACAGATGAGGTAAGAGTAGAGGGGGAGAGGGAACGAAGGTTACGGCGGACAGGTGCAGAGTTAGAAGAGATTAGTTTGTTATGTTTGGAAAGGGGTAGAGAGAATGAAATGAAAAAGGGATCCGAGGTGTGAAGCGGGTTTACAGAGAGGTTAGAAGTAGTGCAATTCCTTGAGAATATGAGATCAAGGACATTGCCAGCTTTATGAGTTGGTGGGGATGGAGACAGTGTGAAAGCAAAGGCGGTTAAAAGAGATGTTAGTTCAGATATCTTCCCTGTCTGGAGGTTGAAGTCTCCGAGAAGTACAGTGGGAGGGCCAGTTTCAGGGATGTGTGAGAGGAGATGATCTAATTCCTCCAAGAAGTCCCCCAAGGCGCCTGGTGGACGGTAGAGAACAACAATGGTTAATTGTATAGGATGGGTTACAGTAACGGCGTGGAATTCAAAGGTGGAAGGAGTGAAGTTAGGTAGCTTGAAGAGGGAAAAGCTCCATTTGGGAGAGAGCAGGAGACCAGTGCCACCTCCTCAGCCAGTGGGTCTGGGTGTATGGGAGAAGGAATATGCTGTGGAGAGAGCTGCTGGGGTGGCTGTGTTGGATGGAGTAATCCAGGTCTCAGTGAGAGCAAGGAAATCCAGAGACTGCAGGGAAGCCTAGCCAGAGATGAAGTCAGCCTTAGGAACAGCTGACTGGCAGTTCCACAGGCCACCTGTAACTAGATGTTGGATCTCAGTGGAGCATGTGGGATAGACGAGAGTAGGCCGGTTATAACGATTAGGAGATGCACGGGGCCAGTAATAATTGCAAGAAGACAGATGAACAGGAATGGAGAATATACACATGTTTTTAGCAAGAGTGGATAAAAACACCAGCGATACTTACCTCATCTTTGCCTTCCTCGTGACTCCAACAGGACTCTATTGTCTTCGTCTGTCTGACGCTCCAGGAAAGTGCTACCTAAAATGGACACCTGATTGCTGAGTTGTCACAGCTGTGGGGCCACGCCCCTTTAATTAGTTAACTCTCTGCAGCTGATGGGCCTCAATAGGAAATTGAAACTGGCTCACTCCTGAGTTGTTAATTAAACTTTTTAGTGGCACGATAGTTTACAATTACATTAAACCCTAAGTTATAAAGATATGAGTTTAACCCTTAATACAGTTACCCCTACTCAATACTCTTAGTATTCTACAAATGTTTAAATCAAAGTTAACTCTAGCAGCCAGTTAGTTCAGTTTTAAGGTTTCTGTCAAAATAATTGTCCCAAATTCCTGCCTGAAAATACTGTAGCGGTTTTGAGATGAAATCACCATTTCAATCAGATCAACTACAGAGCATTTATACAGAGCACACACACTGAAACAGAGAAGTCTAAAAACAGCATCTTACTCACACAATTCTAGAAGTCACCAGTTGTTATCCTGTCAAAATCGAGTAGCACACATAAACATTTCATTACCTTACTATTAACATTTACTCAAATTTGACATATTCTCAACACCATATCTAAACTAAATCAGAACTATCGTTAGGGTTAGATCCTGCTAGATGGATGTGAGCAAATGTTTTTGGTAATGAAAGCCGTAAATGCCATGTTCAGTGAACCGGTCTAAAACAAGCCTGGGACTTTGATCATCCCTGTTTTCTTATCTTTCCAAATAACTCCTGTCAACGATCTAATGTATTACAAAATGAGCCTGGCATAAAATAGAAGACTTGTCCTAAGAGACGACTTCGTAGTCACTGTGCCCCTCTGTCCCCTCAGAAAGAAGAGCGTGTCTCTGAGCTGAGGAACCAGCTGACTGAGCGACAGGCCCTGCGCTCCAGGAGAAGAGCTTCCTCTGTCACCAACCAGAACCACAGCTCTCCGGCCCTCGCCATTCACCAGAGCGACCCAAGGTCCTTAGCCCCTCCTCCAGGGTACCCCGTCCCCATCTCTGACCTCCATCCCATCCCTTCGTCCTTCGGAAACTCGTCCAGCCTCTACCAGCCAGACAGCAAAATCAGCCGAAATAACTGCCACGCCAGCCGGCTGCAGCTGCTGTACAAGTGAGGGGGGGGGGGGGGGACATTGGAGGGATGAGGACAGTAAGGACATTCATAGTTACATGGAGATAGATAAAATGGTGCACGAAGAACAGATACAAAAAAATCTATATCTGTTGGAGGGGCTGAATCCATTCCACCAATCAGCCGAGGCCGGAGGATCACCAGTTTTCGTGATCAATATTAAAAATATATATATATCAGAAAAAAAAATGTACATACCGTCTTTTGAATCTAATCTGCCAGTGATGTTTAATGTGCCATCTAGAGTTTGAGAAAAACTTGAAATTAAACTTTGTGAAGCCCTGAACCCCTTGGCTACAGTTACTAACTGTCAAACTTTCCATTGGTACACTGCACATGAAGAAGTTTACAATGATGGCAGATTTAACGATCTGAATTTCGGTCATCATTTAAACAAAATTATTACATTAATGAATACGAAAGCATCTTGGCATTTTTGGCAACTGTTGATTATGTTGGCTGAAATCCCAACTGTAAAATGGATTTACTTTATTTTGATGCTTATCAGATCCATTAATTTGTTGGAATTGAAAAGTGACTCTTAAAATGAGAACCCTTTGGTATTGACATGATGGATGCATGCATGATATTGAATTTAGTCTGAGACTAAATCTACATATTCCTGGGAAATTGTGAGTTGATGAAGAACACATGGTAATGAAGAGCAGAATTGTTCTTGATCTCCAAGTTAGCTAGTTAGCCAGGTCTGTAAGAGTGTGATAATGAAAAGTTAACATCATTATTTTAGATTATTTTAATATGTTGTTCATATTTTTGAAAAATTATGTTTTACTTTTACAAATAAAAAGGCTTTGAGGATGAAAACAACCAATGACTTTGAAAAACTAAGATTGAGAATAAAGCTGAAGTGTAAACCTCCTCAAATCCAATGAAGAGCACATGGTAGCTGCTAAGATTAGCATAAACTCTCATAGTTGCATCTAGGCCTAGCTCTTACAAACAGGAAGTCCTTGGACAGAACAGGACTTTTAATGTAAGTTTTTAAGCCTCAAAACAATGATGTTAACAAAATAACTCTTGGCCTTGGACGTTATGCTAGGTTACATCTGAATGCAGTAAGCTCGCTAGCCAAACCTTGCACTTTGCAAACATGCTAGCTCTTATATGTTACTTACAGTGTCGTTAGTATTGCCATATGTACAGTTTGTTTCTTGTTACTGGTTTGTATAGGGTGTTTTTTGTTACTTTTATGTACAGTTCATTTCTCCCATGTTTTTATTTGTTTTTATTATGAATCAGATTTACTCTCTGTGAACGATAAAGCTTATTGTTACGATTCATGCTACATAAACATGTGTTTATTGGGCTGTATTAAAGGGATTGAAGTGTGAAGGGTTTTGAATTGGTGTTTTATGAGGTACTTATCCAAAGTCAGTGTATACAGTAGATGGCAGGTGGCACACCCCCAGAAGCAGACAGGGGTACTGGGACAGCAGCAAAGCAAAGCACCCTACTGCTGTGGACGGGGGCAGAGACATACAGCCTCATTTTAAAATGGCCTACCTTAAAACAATATTACTATGACCTTGCCATGAGAAAAACCTTTTTCAAACTCAATGGGCAAAAAAGCTTAATTTGTTTTACTGTTTGCTGTCTGCAAGGTATAGGGTTGAAACTATTCTGAATATAAAGTTTGCCTAAACTGATATGGATATTTTTTGTGTGGGCCCTATTTAGTTAGTTCACTAATGCCCCCTACCACAGCAGTAGCTTGGTTAGCTGCTGTGCCCACATCTGGTTTATCCAAACTACCCTCTGCTCTAGGTTACACACTGTCTATGGATAAGTACCTCATACAACAACACTTCACATCCAAACTATTCCTTTAAAATAGATATTTAAGAACCAAGTGTTTAGGAGGGTTGTGTCTTTAAACCCCCATTCCAATAACAAATGAGCTGAGTAATTGAATACACAGTGCGTGTGTGTAGTTTTAGCCTCAGACTTTTAACATAGTGCATGCATGTTGAAGATCCCTTTAAACATTGCTCTTATTTAAAAAGGGTTAGCTAGAAAATTGTCATCAGTGTTTTAGTGGTTGTTAGCTGAATATGGCTGACAAAATCTGCAAGCGTCAGTTTTCTTTCAGTTGACAAGATAGATGGTCCCTGACTAGAAATGAGAGCAATTGGGGCAAAGCAGTGTTCATATCTGTACCACTACCTTACAACATTGCCTCCATATGTGTTAGATAGTGCTATGTACTGTATTAAGAGGTTGGGATAAAGGGCAGACTCCATGATGAAACTTTCTGATGTTTCGTAACAGTGGTTGTATCCAAAACATAGTATATTTTTGGTCATTTCAGCTCTTTTTGTTAAATGTTTGATGTAGGCTTTTTACATTGTTAATAGTCTCTGTTCAAAGAGACTTGTGATTCATTGTACATACTTGTGTGTTTTCATGCTTAACCCGTCACTGTGGATGAACTGAATCCTGTTGATTCAGAGCTCAGAAGAAAAGTATGCTGTCATCTGTCTGGTATTTATTTATTGTAAAAAGAGTGACTGCCACACTCGAAAGTTGAAGGAGCATTACATGAGGCTAAAACATTCGTTTCTCTCCAAGAGCTTAATTGTTTTCTTTTTTAAATGAATGCAAGTTTTGATATTTGAATAGTTTGCTGTATATTTATCCAACAGATATGGGTTGAACAGAAGGTTCAAGATCAGATCTTTTAGGGACTGAGATAGGGACTGAGGCATAGTATTGGGACCGAGGCACAGTTTTAACCAATAGTTTGGAAACGAGAGAGTACGTTTTAAATATCATCAGCATAAAGGAGTACGTTTACATTTAAAAGGACAACATTTGATCTTTCAACTTCTTTATTGGTGATTCTATCCCACTTGAAAGTAAGATTGCCAAATTCAGCATTTCTGTTTGTGTTCACTCTTCTGCTTTTTTGGTCTCACTTCCAAACACAGATTTTTGTGGGGATTTTGTGGACAAAGAGAAAGACTCCCTTACAAAGTTTCCATGATAGGTTTTCATTCCAGAAAGTGAAAGTACAGCACATGCTGACTGCCTCATAATAACTTAACGCAACAACACACAAATAGTGAACATGAGGACAAAATATGTTTATTTATGCCTTCCAAAACTGTAACAAACGCTATTTTAACAAAGATCGATAAAGAGGTCATAGGGGCGTTTTCTGATAAACCACCTCTGGATAAGGTTTGCTTAGATTCAGGATCCGGCTAGGGATTGGTAAAAATGATGGCCATGATTTCAATAAACTGTCAGTAGTCAAAGCTGCACCACCTTACTATCTCTTAGTGACATTTTCAACATCATCTTCGGTGAATAGACTTTGCTATGGTTGTCATAAAAAAGACAACTTGGCCAAACTTCTGTTTCAAAGTTCAGGAATGAACTATCATGCTCAATTTTGAGAGACAGTATTGGTAGCATAATGACTCATTGCGGGTTCGGTGTTATGTTGTCCCTGCCTCTCTTTGTAACAGATCGTTATTTTTATTGAGGGTCCGGCTTTGGCTTTTATGTTCTTTTTTATGTTCATTACCTTTTTCACCTTCTTAACCTCTCATGTCAAATATGTTGTGCGATCTTTGCCTGAGGTATAGAGTTTGTCTTGCCTTCTATTTGGGTCTCTTGTTCTCTCGGTGTGATAGCATAGCTTGCTTTATAGCGTGGGTTGTTGTAAGCACTTCTGAACTGACTAATAACTACAGTATTAGGCGCAGATGTATGAACCTGGTACATCCTTTCAAAGTGTAAATATCTACTGTGTGTTTGTCTGTAACAACGTATTTTTACTGTCTGTAAAGCAGTGAAGATGTAAGTGATGTTGGTAACACATGACAATATGCACACTGACTGTAAATAATGACATTGTAAATAATAATGAAGTTTGACTTTGCAAATACAAACTGTACAGTTGATGTGGTACAGTACTCAAAATATATTTCTATATGCTGTAATATCTGATGTCAGAGATTATTTGGAATGTAAGAATACAAAATAAAATTAGTTGTTTTTCCTAAACTATAGATGAGGTTGTAGCCAGATGAGCAGGGCAGTCAGTAGTTACACATCTGTACGGACTGAAATAACTCAACTGTTGGATACATTGTGATGACGGTGGTGCAAACATTAGTGTCCTAATAGGATGACTACCCTGACTCTAAAGTGGTGCAGAGATTTTGTTGGGTAACCTGGAAGTCAGCATCGAAGAGGCGCCCTCGACAGAAGGGGGGGGGTTTCTATTGGATTTTGGTTTATTGCAGAAAATAAGCTCTGTGGCAAACACACATTTATTATGATAGCTTCACATTTTGTCCAGCATGATAATCTCCGCATATTAACGCAACTTTGTGCAAACACAAACGCCAGAAGTAAAAACCTAATGTTAGGCTATAAACAAACGACATCAGGGAATGTCTGCACATCACTAACGCTAGGCTAAAAACAGATTTGTGTTGGCGTGATGATGTATTTTATGTCACAAAACAAAACGTGAAAATCTCTTGCTTGTTTGAACCACAGATTGTTTCAGGCTTCTAATCAAAAACATTGACTTCAAGAGGAGAGAATATGCTACGTCCTTTCCGGGTTTTAGGACTCATTCCTGCGCCTCTCTATTCATCTAGCTCAGTGACGTGAAGTCAGGGGACGCCACACCTGTCATCCTTCAATTAAAAAGCACTCACGAAAAGAAAAAAAAAAGACTTTACAGATTAACAAACAGAGATGACAGTGTTAACAGATTCATATAATTACACGAAAATAATGAAAAAACACAAGATAGAATGTGAAATACAAATAAAACAGATACAAATTAAACTAAAGCGAGTATGAGTTTGAAACTGCATTCAGCTAGAAAATGTGAATCTTGTACGTAAGTTACCTGTTGGACTATGTGTGTTGTAAAGATTTCCAAAAACATATGATAAAAGATAAAACATACGATTGCCTAACCATTAGGCTAGACATTGTGCAACCTCCTAAATTAATCCAACAGATATGTTGCATGTTTAAACACTGATGAAGCTGC